TCCCAGCCAACACCCGGGCCCAGTTCCTCCATAAAACACAGCATCACTGGTGTAAAACTTAAAAATGGCCATCCCCTGCCCCTCCCAAAACTGAAAAAAAAAAAAAAAAAGGAAGATCTGCACGTCACCCACCTTCCAGCGGCCTAAGACACTGAGACTCCAAAGGCAGCCCAAATACCCCCAGAAGAGCATTCCCAGAAGAAACAAGCTTGACCACTATGCCATCATCAAATTTCCTCTGACCACTGAGTCAGTCATGAAGAAGATAGAAGATAACAACACACTGTGTTCATTGTGGATGTCAAGGCCAACAAGCACCAAATTAAACAAGCTGTAAGAAGCTCTATGACATTGATGTGGCTAATGTCAACACTTTGATGAGGCCTGATGGAGAGAAGGCCTGTGTTCGACTTGCTCCTGACTATGGTGCTTTGGATGTTGCCAACAAAATTGGGATCATCTAAACTGAGTCCGGCTGGCTAATTCTAAATACAATTTTTTCTTACCAGAAAAAGAAACAAAAATGCCATCAGTTTTCATGTGAAGGAAAGCAATAAAATGATCTCCTCACACACAGGTCATACATACCTGGAAGTAGTGTACTCTGTTTCCACTGCTGGGGAGCACACACTGTTGCTGAGAAGTCAAGAATGTCACCTCCCATATAGGAATCTGACCTGGCAGATGGGCTGGGCACATCAAGATGGATCAAGCCAAAAAGCCAGGTATCCTTCTCATTTTCTGCCCTGAATGGTATTTTAGAAGATTGCTCAAGTCAGAGATATATTATTTCTCTGAACTTGGTCCTTAGTCCTTTATAGAAAGAATAAATGGAAGTTTCAGGAATCTAAGAGATAGCAGGCAAGTCATAATTCCATTGACTTCTTCATTCTCTCCCCAAAGCAACCTGTTATACAGATGACACAGCCATGCTTGCCAAAAGCCAGTGGGATTAAAATTGCTTGCTACAGAAGATCAATGATTACAGTCTTCAGTATGGATTATATCTCAACATCAAGAAGACAAAAATCTTCACCACTGGGCCAATAGACAATATCATGCTCGATAGAGAAAAGATTGACATTGTCAATGATTTTATTTTATCTGATCCACAATCAACAGCATTGGCACCAGCAGCCAAGAAATCGAAAGACTTACTGCATTGGGTAATCTGCTGTCAAGGAGCTTTCCAAGGTGTTAATGAGCACCGGTGTCAGTTTAAAGACTAAGAAGCACATG